TATATACACCCATCCTTGAACGAACATGAAGTACCATCCATAGCTACAAGAAGTAAATCAACGAAAGATCCGATCAGATAAAAATTATAAAACTCATGATGTCCTGTTCCATTTTCGAAAAGACAAGATGTAACCTCACCTGAATTGGAGCATGTTGTACACATATTCCTGAAATTTGAACAAAATAAGTCAAAATACAGATCCACATAAGATAGAAAATGCTACAGAATTTCGTTAGAATTGCTTTGCAAAGGAAATAATTTCTCAAAGCCCAAAATGCTAATTCTATCAGCAAAAGAAAATTAACAATTATTAGAATAAGTTTTTTTGGAAAATAGAGCAAAATGATAGCCAATAACTTATTAATTGAAAAGGAAAAAATGGGGTCCATGCAGAATCATATCAATTCGACAGAAATTTCACAAAAAAAAAAAACGAAGATGATGATGATGATGTAAGCATCAAAATGACAATTTTATCACAATCATCAATTCTTTCATGTTATAATTCATACAAGAATTAAGAAACTAAAATACAAACTGGAAATCTTTAGACTCAAGTATGGACTCAAAAAGAAAAAAGCTAACCTTGCTGATTCTTAGCACACTCATAAGCTGATTTTGGTATTCCATTCCATTACATGGTTCTATTTCTCGAATCACGTATACCATTGTTGCACCAGCTATAATAGATGGAAGATAGTGCACAAGCCTAGGATCTGTCAATTAACTCATAAACTCTATCATTTGTCAATTAACTCATAAACATAAATCATAACAAATTAACAATTAACAAATAATAAAAACCAAGGAAAAAAAATATCCAAGCAAGCAAATTAGGAAGGCACCAGTCAGCAGCAAGGCACACAAATTTGAGTCTACAGTCTACACTACACGGTCTCACACTCACAGTCACAGAATAAATAAACCAAATACACCTAGCAGCAAGTTATAATCAGCAAATTTCAAATGTGCAACACAAAAATTACCCAAGCAAGTTAGCCAAGTGCTCACCGTCACCGAGTCAAGATCGAGCGTCCCATGCTTCTGCTTCTTTTGACCCTTACCCTTCGCCTTCGGCCTTCGACTTCATAGTTCGCCTGTCGTTGAATTGTCTTGCAGCCCTTGCAGTCTTCAGTCTTCAACTCTTGCCCTTTTCATTTCCATTGTGAATTTTGTGAGGAAATGGATTAGTTTGTCATTTGTAAAGCAGGCTGATATTATATAGATTGGTTTCGGTTTGGGCTAATTTTTTTTTAAAAGGCCCAAACTGGCGCACAACAAACAAACACAAAAGGCCAAAAACCTTACCTCCTTCCTCAGATTGATGCTTCGTCCGCTGCGCTTCCACACACGATCGGACTGCACTTTCCGACGAAGGAGCGCGCATGCTGGATCCGCAGTGCAGGTTTTCAGTAATAACTCGTAAAAAGATTATAATTTTTTTCTTACATATCTAGAAATTTAAATTCTATTTTTTTGTTACATATACTAAGATTAAACCTTTGATACTGTCAAAACAGGAAGATGAGTTGGTAGTTTGCAGGGTTTTTAAGAAGAAGAACCACACCAGCGGCTTCCAACCCGAATTGGACCAAGAAGATGCGGTTTCATACCAGCAGGCGAGTAGCTTTCTTTTGGATCCAAAACACCATTTTCAAGAACAATACGATTATATAATGGAACTCCAACAGGCAGAAGTTAAATGGGCACAAAGGGTGGCTTAATTGCTACTTCACAAAATCAGTTAAAGTTAACGGTGGAACAAGAAATTCTGTTAATCCTCTATTTCATAGCCTCTTTTAATATATAGAAGACATGTAAATCATCACTAATAGCTTACAACTATAGAAGAAATTGGTTCAATATTATAATCGGAGTATTGATACTTAAGGTCGATTTAATGCAGAGTTCGTGTAAAATAATATTTATGAAGAATGTGTGGTAAAAATGTAGGTAAAAATTATGGGATCAAGTATAAAAATAATTGATTAGAAAAATGTATGATAAAAAAAAAAGAGTTTTAAAGAATTTCTCTTGAACGTGAACTTAGGAAATGGACTAAAAAGTCTGAACAATATTGATGGAAAAGAAAACTCCTTTTTTTTTTACTTATACTGTCGATGGTTAATGTTAAATACTATAAACAATTAAAGTGAATTTCATTTTACTTTAAGTTTTAGGGTAATGAAATGATTTTTTCTTAATGAAGTTTGCAAATCGAGCATGTACATCTTCACATAACCGTATTATATATTGTACAAGATTTTTCAGATCTTACCCAGAAAGACTAAAATTTCAAAGGGATCCCACCAAAAGTTTAATCGAAGGTAGATCACAATATTTCCTTTAAAGAAAAACACAATAAATTTTCACAAAAACTTAAAATTTTTTAAGATTTACCAAAAAAAATGCAAATTTGAAACTAAGGATTCAAAAATTAAACCTTAAACCCCCTTTTGAAAAAATTGCTTTAATACCACTTATTGGTCCCAAACGAGTTTGTCAAAACATTCAAAAATACCAAACGTTTGCAGAAAAGTGAATCGCAAAAATTAAAGAATCAACGTAGGAATTTTCACCCACTAAAGGGTCCGAATGTTCACGTTCCCTAAACGATACTCACTCGTTGAACGTCCTCAAGTAAATATTACTTTAGATTCACTAAAATCAACCAAGAACGGTGCGTACTAGTAGTATTTTGAATTTTTAAGTCTTTGTATTTTAAATCTCGTTTTCATTATTACGAATATGCAATAATTGGAATTTTGACTAAAAAAAATGGTATTGATCGATAAAAGAGCATTGCTAAACTAAAGATTTAAAATGAATACATGTAAAACATCATTAATAGCTTACAACTTTAGAAGAAATTTGTTCAATATTATAATCGAGCTATTGATGTTTATAATATATTTAGAGTCAATTTGATGTAGATTTTGTGTAAAGTAATTTTTATGAAGAATATATGATTAATATGTGGAAAATTATAGGATCACGTATAAAAGTAATTGATTAGAAAAATGTATGGTTGAAAATAAGTTTGAAAGAAAATGAGTTTTGAAGAATATCTCCCAAACAAGAACTGAGAAAATGGACTACAAAGTCAAAAATATTGAAGGAAACGAAAACTTATTATTATTTTTAATTAAACTGTTTACTTGTCGATGGTTAATGTTATACTATAAAGAATTAAAGTGAGTCACATTTAACTTTAAATTTTAGGGTAAAGATATGACTTTTCTTAATGAAGTTTGCAAATCGAGCATGTACACCTTCAGATAACCGTATTTAAACTAAATATATAGCATTATTTCTTCACTTAAATAATAAAAATGGTAGCATCAGTAATTCTAATCCTTCACTTAATTAATAAAAATGAAAGCAACATCAATTCTACTTATTTGTTGAAGAGTGACTTATTTTTAATAAATTCACAAATGAGACAGAGTAAAACACAGCTCTCGGACTGCACAACACTATGCTTTTAATATAATACATGAAAAGAATTTACAAAACATGTATTATATATAGGGTATAATTAAGTTTCATATACTGTTAGAAATTACAATTTTCATTCTTGAAGAGTTAGCATATAATTAGGGGCGGAGCCAGGATTTAATGGTATGGGGGACAAAAATTTTCAACAGTGGACTACTAGCTTGAACGGTGGAAAAACAATGAGTATAACCAAAAAAATAATTTTTTTTTTAAAGGAGGTGGGCATGGACTGTAGCCCATCCCTACCTCCGCCAGTGCATATAATATTTGTCAAAAAAAAATAATAATAATAAATAAATAAGAAAAATAGAAAAAGTTTCAAACAAATCATTTTTTCACATATATATATGAATCGAATGGTCATCTTGTAAAATAAAATAAGATGTTTTAAAATTATTCATATATGGTCCAAACTCTTTTATATGTGCTAGACCTTAGCTATAATTGAACCATAATATGTAGGATTCTTCTTCTTTGTTATGGTTGGAACTCAACTTCAACCAAAACCAATCAAATGCNCCATAATATGTAAGATTCTTCTTCTATGTTATGGTTGGAGCTCAACTTCAACCAAAGCCAATCAAATCCAACCAATAACCAACAGCTATAAACTCAATATGCAGGATATAAATTGTAATAACTCAAATTGAAGACATAATCTGAAATATTTCATAGATTGATACCTGCTATTACAATGTAGGGGATTACAATTAAAATGACAAATATAAAAGTGAAGATATGGACCAGTAGAGAATGGACTAGTGGAGGGAGAACAGAGAAGCAGCAGAAGAAGAGGAGAAGAAAAAGAGAGAAGAAGAAACAGGGAAGAGAGCTGAAGAGAAGAATACCGGTGGGAGAAACCAGTAGCAGGGAGAAGAAAAGAACGAGAAATTCCAGACCGAAGAAGGTCAAAGAGATGGAGATAGAGAGATTAAGATAGCAGAGAGGAGAGAGGAGAGAGGAGAGGAGAAGAAGAAGAAGAAACTGAGAAGAAGAGGGCAGAGAAGAAGAAGGAGAAGACGAAGGAAAGGGGGAAGAACACAGGCTGCAAGCCAATTCGTCAATTCACATTTCCATTCTTCCAGCTTCAACCATATATGAAACAAAACTGGGCTTTGGGCTAGCCCATCTATTACAAACCTACTAGATAATAAATGTAAATGGTCAAATCCATGATGTCCCTTCCCCTTAAATTAACCTTATCCTCAAGGTTTAAGGTTTGGATATCTTCTTTGTATGAAATTAACTGTCTCATTCTCTTCACCACCCTTGGATTAAGGAGATAGTGTAAGGCGGCATAAGATCCATTCATCTCATCTTCTTGTTTTCTCTTAGTCACCTTGTTTATAATGTTCATGCCTACATACTTTGCTACAAATTCTACATACTAGACCAATGTTTCGAAAGATGGAGGCTCAAAATCATCCGACTTGTGAGGATGGCCTTCTAATTTAGTCTCATGTTTCTGAATATTAGCTACTGATTTTTCTGCTACTTGAGAATATGTTTCAGTTGTGTGTGTTGGATCGTATTGCAAGGAAAAGACTGATCCCCAGTTCCCTTCGAGACTCTCATTTGCACTACTTGAAGCACCAAAAGTTTTGTTTAGAACTTCAGAATCAGAAGATGGAGCTCCTGGCTCTTTTGAAATTGAGATGGGTGAATAATTGTTCAATGCTACAATGTCACCATCATGAATCAGTTCCAAACCCGAATCTATGCCAACTAACTTTAATGTGCTAACATTGCTACTTATATATCTTATCTCAACAGTAGCAGAAATTTCAATTGAACATTCCTAGGTTAAAGGTACAGATTCTTGCTCCTTTGAAGCAGGTTTTTCATGATTTTCAGCAAATCTTTTACAAACCTCACTTGAAAACATGTCCCAGTCAGCATTGGAATGGTTGAAGATAAAGCTATAAAACCATATATAAGCCTTCCCTTCCAAATACATCTTTGTAATTCCTAACCTAAGTTCGTCATGAACTTGGTGCATCTGAAAGTATTCCCTAGCCTTCCCAAGCCATTCACTAGGTTGTTCTCCCCCAAATTGTGGAAAATCAATTTTAGTGACTATACTGTTTCCCTAGAATTCCCCTCTAGTACAAATAGTATTCTCGTTACTACTAGTCCTTTGTGAGGTTATCACGTTCCTAAATCTAAAATTAACATTTGGCTCCTCTATTCCTTAATTTTTCTATTTCATTTTAAGATTTGAAGACATTTGGGCCAACATGGCCACCAAATTTTCATGTTTTTTGATTCATATCCAATAAAACATCCTCCATTTTCTTTTGCCTATGACTAAATTCTTGGAGGGTTTGATGTGTTGATTCCCATTTGGCCTCCAATCTCCTGGCAACAGATTTGAAAGTTGTACCCAAATCAGCTATTTCCAAGTCCAGCTTCTTCAAGTGCTTATCCACGACCTTGGCCCTTGTATCCATAGTTAGCAATTGCCCAGTATAATACGCCCGTTCTGATACCATTTGTTATGGTTGGAGGTCAACTTCAACCAAAACCAATCAAATTCAACCAACAACTATAAACTCAATATGCAGGATATAAACTGTAATAACTCAAATTGAAGACATAATTTGAAATATTTCATAGATTGATACCTTCTATTACAATGTAGGGGATTACAATTAAAATGACAAATATAAAAGTGAAGATATGGACCAGCAGAGAATGGACCAGTGGAGGGAGAACAGAGAAGAAGAAGAAGAAGA